ATTCATATTATATATATGTGCTCAAAATCTTCGCGGTAAGTTTCTCTTTACCATAAAATTTGACCGAATAAGTTTCGAAACAATGCGACGGCAAAAATGCGAAAATCCTGATTTTTGTAATAGAATTTATAGTCTTTTTGCCCTGTTGTACCGCCATCTTGGATTTATCATGTAGGCCCCCGCCTGCGCTAGGTATGCGTTAGCAATCTAGATCTCCTATATCTATGCTATAAACGCTCTGCCGAAAGTCGTGGTATTTTAGGATACCTACACCAACAGCCGTTCCGCACATTGTAACCAATAATTTATTGGCGTTGCAATGCTATTGTATGCAATAAAGTATTGGGTTGTAATGGGTCTACAATTAATCCAAACGTTAATCCTAATCCAAACCCTAATCCTAACCCTAACCTCTAACCCTTAACGCCACCTCTTAACCCCTAATCCCGCACCCTAACCCCTAACCCCGGCCGGCTACCCCTCCGGGGAAAATACGCGCCGCGTTGTCGAATCGCGTCTGGTGTGTCTCGGCTTAATGGACTGCATTATACACTAAATTTTGATTTTGGGCTGTCAATTTCCCGTGCGTATATTACAAAATGACTGAAAAACGGCAAATTTCGCAGGGCTATATTATCCGCATTTTACAACATTTCGCAACGAAACTTTGGAATATTACTAATTTTGTGATGCTCTTTCAAGCTGTGATGAAATTTTTGTCTAGATCAAAATTTAGTCTATAATGCAAATGGTCCATTTAATAGTCGAAGTGATTGCCGCTACGCGACTCGCGAAATGACTTGCCGTCACGCGACTCACGCGATGTATGCTTCAAAATGGCGGGCGTCCAGGGGGTAAATGCCTTACTAGCATAAGAAATGTAAACTTGACGGCCTTTTTAAAATTTATCTCGTCTTTTTGTTCAAATGCAAACACAGTATTATTGTTATATTGCCTTTGTGCTTTTGGCCAAAATTAACAAGTTCATCTTGAAAATCTCTTTGTTTAAACGCTAGCTTTTTGAACAAGGAACTTCATCGTCAATAATGGACTTGACTGCTGTGAAAGAGATTCGCTATAGTTGTTACGGAAAAAATTGTCAATATTTTTTTACACACAAAATTTTGAACAAATCACATTTCACGACACTAAAATCAAGCATTTCACATTTCACGCGAACAAATATTGACCATTCACGCGTGGCTCACGAAAATACCCTTTCCCACCCTCTGACTTCGGTACTTCAGAAAGCAATTTGCGAAGTTGGCTTTGCAATTTTCACGGCCATTATTCCAAATTTATGAAATGTAATTGGGTCTATTACATAGTAGAGAGTGAGATACTGAAAAATACACAGTGAGATATTTTCCATATCTTAACTAGTGAAGATATCGATCACGTTACTTTTTCCAATTTGCTTTTGAGCGTGAAATTTCAGTTTTTTGCCTGGGACTATATAATAAACAGAACATTACTCGAAGTAGACTTTCCCAAAGTCCTTTCTAGTTTTTTTTCGCGGGAAAGTCTACACTCGAAGATAAAAGTCATATCTTCGATCCGCCGTGTAATATCCTCCATATATCACAACAAACTTGCAAAGCGGGAATCACGCTTTGAAAAGCGACGTGAAATAAAAAAATAAAATTTAAAATTGAAATGCGTGCATGTATGGAAAATAATAAATATTAAAATGTGGCAAATGACCTCATTATCATACCCCTAGCTGTGGGGAGTTCCTGGCCTTTTATAAGTGGGTGGAAAAAGAATGCTTTAATCGAAATCGTACGTCACGTTCAAAAACACTGCAGTTAAAACCGCCAAATCGGTCGTGAAACTCGAAAGGTCAGACCGTTGCATATAAAACTTATAAACGTGCGACGGTTCTAAGCCCTTAAATTACATAACTTAAGTTTATAGTGTTCCCGGAAATCGGTAATAGTATTTGAACTCTCAGGAAGACGCTCAATTGATAAAAAATAAACCGTACACTTTGCCCACTTTGTCCTAAATTTCTGATACATTGCTTTAATATTAAACACCAGCTTTTGTGGGCGGCAAATTGGTTGCAAAACATACCGCAAAAATATTCGAATTCAAATAGCTACTTTCTAAATTTCAAACATAGAAATCTTGGATGCAATTACAGTAATATAAATATGAACATTTGCTCCACTTTATATAATTTTAGCAAAGTGTATATACAGATCTCTTATTATAAGAGTTTATTTAACTTGAGTTGACGTTAATTTTTAATTTCGAAAGCTTTCAAGATGAAGAGGGATCGAGTCTAGCCGTATACGATGTTTACATAGGCTCATAGCATATAGAACCCCGCTTGGAATTATGTAACTGAAGGCAGAATTGATTTCTGTATATTTGTTTTAAAATCTAGCTTCCTATACACACATGCATGGACCAGTATTAAAATTTAGAGTAAAGTTGAACGATAGAAAGTTTTTCTGTGAGAATATATCAATAATTACTTAACATATAATATATTTATACAAAACATATTTCCTGGTATCTTTTGTAATATATAGCACTTACCACCAAAATCTATTCCTTGCTAATAAAATCACTGCCAAGTTAAATGCTGCATTTGTGTTCTGAAAACAAAATGTACTTCGACTTTCGCTGGTATCAGTGATAGGCCTATATACTGCAAACGATCAAAGCTCCCTCAATATAGCACGATCGCTTTCGAGCGTAGGCGAACTGCGGAAGACTTTCGACTATAAATAATAGTCTTACAATGTCTGTCATTTGTGGTCATTTAAATATTATTTGAATCAAAAACTGAGACAATGCAAATGAATAAGTTGAATACATAATCGGCATAATACGGGGTTGATAGGCAATTAATTGGGAGTCAAAACAAAAAAAGAAAGTCGATATATAACTGATACCTACATTGCCGCGATATAAAGTCTTTAGAGACGCATGAATTGCCTGGACGAAAGTGGGAAAACAGGACAGTTTGTCTCATAATTCGTTTGTGAATTAACGCGTCAAACAGCCAAATTAATCGGCCATCAAGATAATCTATCTGCGAAGTTCGAACTTGCGTTAAAAAAAGGAATGAGAGCCCCTGGTATTAATAAAACCAGAATGGATACTACTGGGTCAAAATCAAAACTCTCATCAAAATTTGAAGGATGCTCAAAGTTGAGACAACGCGCGTCGCGTCGATTTTTTAGTTTTTGAAAGTTAATCGAATCGCGTCCGGTATCGGACGCGATTCAACTGAACGCGACGCGATTTTTCGATTTTCACTGACCGATAACTTAATTTGATCCTAGTTTAAATTTTCCAAATATTTAGAAGCGCTATAACATTTTGAGTTATTTGTTCTACATATCTTTCAAAATTTGCTCTCATTGGCTGTTTTATTAACCGTTTCAAAAAACTAAAAAATCGCGTCGCGTTGTCGAATCGCGTCCGGACCTTTAATTGGAGATCAAACGCGATTCTCATCAAAACATATTACATAAAACATAGAAATATAGAAACATAGAACATAGAAATAACAAAATAGATTTTACGCTCGATAAATTTTGCATGTGTCAACTTGACATTAGTCACATTACCTCATAATGCTCTGATGTAAGCTAGATTTGACGAAACTTTCGCATGGGATAAGCCTTAAATATAGACTTGCAAATAGGTGGTAAATCAGAAAGCTATTGCAGGATCTAAAATATATTTACTGCAAATATTTAAATGCCGGCAGGCCGAACTATAAATCAAAGTGATTAGTCAAAACAATGCCATGTACAAACCACGAGGTTTGGTATAAATATCGAACCGATGAAATGAAAGAAATCTTTCTTAAAATTGTATCAAAACTCTAAATATAGTACAATATTAAAGAAAGATTGTCGCAATTAATAGCAGTTGTCGCGAATACCGGTTCTAATATAAAACTGTAGCAAAGTTTATATAAAATCACTATATGTCTATATAAAAGAGCATAACATATATAAAGCTTGCTTTCAAAATGAAATACACATTGGAATTAGTTGAACCCAAGGCTATTTATAATAATAAAAGTTTTATAAACGCAGTTAAATACACACTTATATGTTATATAACCAAGATTGCATGAGCTGAATATATCGTGTACTTGAGATTATTTACCCACACACAGGAGTGATATGACAGATCTTGAAATCTATATACTTTATAGCTTACCACTTGGTGTCCTTTGACTTTGTTGTTGTGTGGTTTTCGCCCGAGCAGCCGTTTACTAGTGGCTTGTTTTGCTCCGTGGAAGCCATAAGTGATTGTGAAAATATCACAGGAAGTTTTAAAATCAAAGTGCTTTTACTTTAAACAACATCGTGCAGGAACAAGGAAGGCAGGAAGCTCAAGATATTTTTATTTTTATACACGTCTTCAAAACATTGCGCAACTCTTTCGATGTGAGCCAGTGATTAAAGCAGAGAGCGGTTACAAATGTTACAGTGCTTGGTGTTGTATGCAAATATAGTATGCACATCACTGTAATATAAACCTCCGAATATATATATATATATATATATATATATATATATATATATATATATATATATATATATATATATATATATATATATATATATATATATATATA